CCAAAAAAAAAAAAAAAAAAAAAAAAAAGAGCTGGTGGCTTGCTGGGGCGGAGTCTCTGTCCTCAGAAATATAGCCACGGGTAACCTGGCCATGGTACAGAAAACTATAACCCTCACCTGTGTCAAGTCAACTCACAGTGATTAGGGTCACAAGATTGCAAACCAACACAGACAAAAGGGACAGTCAGAGGGACGTGCTGAGACCCGGGTTCAGCAGAAGTGGGATGGGGATGACTGAGTGTAAGGGTGGGTGAAAAAGATCAAAATATACATATATGAAATTATGAAAACTACAAATACGAAAAAAAATAAATAGCAATGACTAGTATCTGAAGGAGGTGTGTCCTAAGACCTCAGTGGAGAACAACAGTGGCTAGTAGTTAGCCTAATATATACTATATTAGAGTTTCTCACACATACGAGAAACTCTAATTAGCTAAGTAGACCCAAGAAGAGGTTCACAACAGTATATAACAGTGAAACAGAACTATAGCAGTGATAGACAATGAGTCAGTTTCTGTCTCAACGTCACAGTATGCCACACTCATCTTTCTTCTTCGGCTGATGTGACATCACATAGCTGTTTTACAAAGAGATTATAAGAAGTACATGGACTAGCTTGTACTTCATGATATTACTCAGAACTACCCACAATTTAAAGGTTATGAATATTTACCTCTAGAAATTTTCATTTAATGTGTTCAGACACCAGTTGGACTGAAACTGCAGAATCCATACGGCAGGTAAGGATCCATACTGCAAGCATAAGTTAGCTGAACTTGCTGGACATATTGGGACAGCTCGACCGGAATATATTGGCCATGCTCAAAGCACACAAAACTTGGATAGATTTGTCGGAAACCCTTTGGGAGGTGAAGCAAATGCTTTTGCTGTCACGCATCAAGCAAATATTCTTATGACTGCCACATAACTGTGCTGCACACTGGTGGAGCTGCATCTCTGCGGTCTCACGGATGACCATTCTTCCATGGACCCTACATGCACTGTATTGCTGAGACTGCAACAGCCACAATTTGTCTGGGCTTTGTCCTGCTGGGAGTCTCTGTGATAGCTCTCCTCCCACCGGACAATTGCCTTGGCCTTAGGAATGTTGGAAAAATTTCTTGGAACATACATGGAGAAGTCCACTCTTCTCTCCAGCTTTTATACTCTGTAGACCTGGAGTATTAGAAACACATAGTATGAGATTTGTTTGTGACTTCTCCTCAGCAGACAGAGGGTAAGTCCTGGCTCACTCAGGTACAGCAAGGAAGAACCAGATTTATTGTGGCCTTAGCCTCAAGGTTAGTTGGTATCCCGAGCTCCCCTCCCTCGATGTTAAACTCTTCTGAGCCAAGGGCATGACATAGTGATACATCTCTTTAACCTCAACACTCAGAAGGCTGAGTCAGTGCTGTTATTTTGTGGCCAGCCTGGGCTATATAAGGAGATACTGTCTTAAAATAAAACAGACAGACAAACAAACAAACAAACAAAAAACAACATGAGCAAAATAGTCCATACATTTGCAAATATGGGAAGAGGAGCTTTGAAAAATGACATTTTTCTTGGAGAGCACCAGGCTTCCTTGTAGCCAAATCTACCAGGTAAGGTGGCTTGGATACTACTTGTTCTTCTCAAAATATACACTATTTATATTTTACATACTTAGGCTGAGAATGTTCCAGATCTTGACACGCCACTTCCTCTTTGATTACAGTAACAGTGTTTATGTCCTGTCTCACCTCCTGCATTTCCTTAGAAGCCAGCTGTCAGGTCCAAAAGAAACCTGGAACAAGTCTCACTCTGTATCTGTGGCTCTCCCAGCACCTCTAACCCCACCCCCTATCCTAAACCTCTGCAGCCCAGGGGCTGGGCTTCCTTTCCCTTCCCCAGCTTCTGATCATTTATAAGCCAGCCAAGCTGGCCACACACTCTTGGTTCGCATGTGCTCTCTTGGCCTCAGCACCTTGCTGGTTCGCCCTTGTCTCCTTGCCCTCGTGGCTCTCTTCTCTCTCTCCCTCTCTTGATGTCCCCACAACCCCTGCCCCACTCTTTCCTCTCATGGTTTGGTTCAGTCTGGACCCTCCCACATGCCTTGGACTAAACTCTCCATATCTAAGATAAAATTCTTGTACTCAGCCATCTTGGAGAAGTCCTATCCTCATTTTCACTCACCGGTAACAGAAGCGATGCAGCTACCCAAACACTAGCTGAGACCGTTTATTCCAAATATACGAGCTCATCACTGAAGTTCTGTTCTCCAGACTGTCCTTGGACACAGAAATAATTCAGCCTTTTTGACGCTTGTAATGAGAATGGCAATTTCCCCTTTACAATCAGACGTCCTCACTTCTGATTTAAATCTCATCACTATAACTTCGCTGTCCATTTCTCTGCCAATATTCTGTTGAAGGGAACTGTGTTGGCTAGCTTTCATCACCAACTTTACAAAATCTAAAACTACCTAGGAACTAAGTCTTAGTGTGAGACTGATCATATGGGGTTGGTCTGTCGTCATGTCTGTATCTTGGTTGTGTTAGCTGATGTGAGGAAATCCAGGCCAAAAGTGGGTGGTGCTAGTCCCTGAGTTTGGGTCCCAGACTGGGTGAGAGATGAAAGGGAGCTGAGTGGTAGGCATACATGCATTCTCTCTGCTCTTGACTGTGAGTAGGATGTGATGTGACATCCCATTTCAAGTCCCTGCCTTGACGTTCCTGCAGTAACAAACTGTAACCTGGACTCAAGAACTAAGTAAACCATTCTCTCAAGTTGCTTGTCTTTTATTATTATTGTTGTTGTTGTTATTATTATTGTTATTAGAGAGAGGGTTTCTTTGTACATCCCTGATTGATTTGGAACTTGCTATGTATACCAGGCTGGGCTCAAATTCAGTTTCAGAGGAATATTGTCAGTCATGGCAAAGAAGACACAGCAGCAGAGATGGCACGGGGAAAAGAGCAGGAAGCTGGCTGGTCACAGGCACTCATACTCAGGAAAAGGAGAATGGAGCAAGTGGGCCACACAATAAAGTCTCAGCCCGGCTCCCCATTTTACTTCTTCCAGTGAGTCTTCACCTCTTCAAGGTTCAACAACCTCCCAAAGAGTACCACCAGGTGGAGATCAAGTGTGAAGTATGGGGGACATTTCACATTCAAATCACAATACCATCTCCCACTAAGGTAGTGTTCAAATCGAGAAGGCACTCTGATGCTTACCTCAATTACTGCTTTGGGAAGTGACTTCCTTTACTATTTCAAAGGGGGCATCAGAGTGGACTAGATTGTTATTAGATCCATAGGAAAAAGCCACCATGAGACAACACTGAGTGTACAAATAATTGAACTATTTCATAACCTGGGAAAAACATCAGGGCTTGAAGAATGTGGCTAATATCATTTCGTACTGGATGGAGAGACGGCTCAGTGGGTAAGGATGCTTGCATAAGCATAGGAACCTGAGTTCTGATCCTAGCATGTGCCCTTAGAGGGAAAGTTATGTGGAGGAGCTGAGACAACACTACTGACTCCCATCCTCACTTCAGGTACAGCAAGACCCATTTATTTGCTGGCCTCTGCAATACAAGTGTGTATAAAACACACACACACACACACACACACACACAGAGCCTATCTGTCTCTCTATCTGTGCACCTATCCAATCATCTATCCTATCTAGATATCATGAACTTAAATTCCCAGCAGCTGTGGTAACCTGCAATATATATATACACACTATTGGGCTCATCAACATCTTTTTATGGAGGGGAGAGAGACTTCTGCGAAATTATAGGCCATTAACTAGGAAGGGCCCATGAGGTTTATCTACTTCTCGAGGATCTATATGTAGTTAATGGTTGCTAGGGGAGGAAGAGACATTTCTTTTGGTGGTAGAAAACAGGGAAGGCACTAGTTGAGAAAAAGAAAACAAATCCAAGGAAGTAGGGGAGACATAAGAGACTGTAATGAGGATCTCTATGAATTTGGGGCTAGCCTGGTGTGCATAGCTAGTTCCAGGCCAACCTAGGGTACTTGGTAAGAATGTGTTGAGAGATGGGGTGTAATAGGGTTCATTTGATTGAAAGTGTAATAAAACATAAAAATGCACTTGTAAATCTTCAAGTGATGCTAAATGGATGCACCCCAGATGGCTGGGTTTCAAAGTAACAAGAAAGCTCAGTTCCAGACTCTCGTGTCCACACTCAGAATTACATACTACATGTATGTGTGGAGGTTTGAATGAGAAACCTCCTCCACAGTCTTAAGCATTCAGGCACCAGGTTGGTGGAGTTGTTTGGGAAGGTTTAGGTGCATGGCTTCTCTAGAGGAAGTGCATTAACAGGGAATTAAAAGCCACCC